AATATATATTATATATATTATATATATATTATATATATTATATATATATTATATATATGTATATATATCTACGCATATCTAACGTGAGAAGAGTAGATCGGTAAGAATGTGTAGACTGCGATTTTTGTTTAATTATTTTAATTATTTTTTTATATTTACTTCAGGAGAATGCTCTTTATTTAAGCAGATCTTTGTATACAAACAACGGCGACTTCCTTATACATATATAGCTAGCTAGCTGGCTAGCTAGCTGGCTAGCTAGCTGGCTAGCTAGCTAGCTAGCTATATATGTCTTCTCTGTGGGGTGCTTAATACATTTATTTATTTAGAAAGACGAAGACAAAGATATATACAGAATAAGTAAAGGTGAAGGTTTGAGGTGTACAAGCAGCTCAAATACTTGTACGAGGATACAGCAGAACGGTGCAGAAACGATAAAAAATATAAATTTTAAATATTTTATCTGTGTTTATTTTGTAATTAAATTAAATTAAATTATTAAAATATACAAAGACATGCTTTTATTTAACAGGGACTTAACTGCAGCAGCAGCAGCAGCAGCAGCAACAGCAGCAGCAGCAGCAGAAGCAGCAGGCGAGAGACCGCTACACTTACAGCCTCTTCTGCTGTTGTCTGTAGTATTTTGTTGTTGTTATATAAAATATTCTGTTTAATATCTCAAATAAATTGCTAAAAATAAATAAAAAACAAAACAAAACGGCTTCTTATTTGTCTACACCGCAGCAAATTAAAACCTCCGTATACACCTCAACATGCTGGCGGTAATTCTCTTTTGATTTGCCTCACTGACACTTCTTTTCTTCTTCTTTACATCGCTGAAACTTAGGGTTTAGGGTTTAGGGTTTAGGGTTTAGGGTTTAGGGTTTAGGGTTTACAGCCCTCACCTGCCCCCGTATGCACGCCCGGCCGTGGGACAGGAGACTTGCTGCTGGACCGCTACGGTTAAGGGTTTAGGGTTTAGGGTTTAGGGTTTAGAAGCGCCTGCCTCCCCTTCCTGTTTATCTCTTTAAACAGACTCAACCCCCAATAGAGGAAACAACAGCAACAACAGTAGCAACCATAACAGCAGCAGCAGCAGCAGCAGCAGCAGCAGCAGCAGCAGCAGCAGCAGGAGTAGCAGCAGCAGCAGTAGCAGCTGCAGCAGCAGCAGGCGTCGACACAGCGAAAACAGCAGCAGCAGCAAACAGCAGCAGCAGCAGCAACAGCAGCAGCAGCAGCAACAGCAACAGCGACGGGGAATATTGAGCTCGGCGATGTCCTAGGCCCACGATTAGGGTTTAGGGTTTAGGGTTTAGGGTTTAGGGTTTGGGGGATGCCCCCGCACGGCTCCAGTCAGAGCAGGACCATCTCCCCTCAGTTGCCTTCCAGAGCTGATGCAGCAGCAGCAGCAGCAGCAGAAGCAGCAGCAGGAGTAGCAGCAGCAACAGGAGTAGCCGCAGCAGAAGCAACAGCAGCAGGCGCAGGACTACCAGCAGCAGCAAAAGAAGCAACAGCAGCAGCAGCAACAGCACTAGAGGAGCCAGAAGCAACTCCAGGAGCAGCAGAAGGGGCTGCATCGTCCGCCTCAGCAGCAGCCGCGGCAGCAGCAGCAGCAGCAGGAGCAGCAGGAGCAGCAGGAGGAGGAGCAGCAGAAGATGCAAAGATGTCAAATGAGGGGTCCCTTAAGGGGCCTTTGGGGTTGCATGCAAATTGCTGCTGCAGCAGCAGCAGCTGCAGCAGCAGCTGCTGCTGCTGCGCTGCTGACCCTCAAATAGATTCGTCAGCGTCGTTTGCTCGCTCCTTCTCCGCCCCACAGCTGCAGCAGAGGCCTCTGCATTTGCTGCTGCACCCACAGCAGCAGCAAATGCAGCATCAGCACCATCATGAGCAGCAGAAGCTGCAGCAGGAGCAGCAAGAGCAGCAGGAGCAGCCGCCGCAGCAACAGGAGCAGCAGCAGGAGCAAGAGCAGCAGCAGCAGCAGCAGCAGCAGCACAGCAGCAGCTCTCCTTGCTTGCTGCGAGATAATGCTGCTTCCGAAGCTCCTTTCAGGTGTACGTATAATAACCCTCGAGTTGGTGGTGCTGATAATATAAAGAAGAGCAGCAGCAAGAAGGAGAAAGCAGCAAAAGACAGCAGCAAAGTACCGTCTCCAGTAGAGAGGATGAAGCCTACTTGCTTGCCTTTGCATGCACGTGGTTTGCTGCGGCGATTAGGCTGGGTACCTAGAGGCCGCCTTCATCAGCAGCAGCAGCAGCAGCAGCAACAGCAGCAGCAGCAGCAGCAGCAGCAGCAAGAAGCAGAAGAGGGCCCTCTAGCCCTTTGGGTCGGTGGCTGCTGCATCCCTTGCGTCGGAGCTAAAGAAACAAGCGACAGCCTCTTCATTTCTTGTACAGCTGACTTTCATCTCCCGCTGCAGCTGCGGCAGCAGCGTCAGCTGCAGCGCATCATGCAGCGCTATCAAAACCAGCAGCAGCAGATGCAGCAAATGCAGCAGATGCAGCAAATGCAGCAGCAGCAGCAAATGCAGCAGCAAAATTATACAGAAAAATATACTCAACCACAACCGCCAGTATTTGCTGCTGCTCCTTTAATACCCACGTCCCCACAGCAGCAGCAGCAGCAGCAGCAGCAACAGCAGCAGCAGCAGCAGCAGACGCTTGCTGAAGATTTCTTAAGAAGATTCGAGCAGCAACGGGTCCAGCAGCAGCAGCAGCAAGCGACGCCTCCTGCTTGTCTGTACGCTCCCTCACTATCCTGCAGCAGCCTCAGCAGCAGCAGCAGCAGCAGCAGCAGCAGCTTTAAGGAGATAATTCCTGCTGCTCCTCTCTGTCTCTCTAGCTTCTGCGGTATTGCGGATGGTGTAGGCAGCTGGGGATCATTTGGTGTTGCTGCAAACAGATTTGCTGCTGAGTTGATGCAGCGCTGTGCTAGGCTTTCTATTTGTTTATCAAAGAAGATTAGACACGCAAGGATGAAGGAGCAGCAGCAGATGCTGCAGCAGCAGCTACTGCTGCAACAGCAGCAGCAGCAGCAACAACTGAAGCACCAACAGCAGCAAAGACGAAGGAGACGAAGGAGACTAGGAAGCAGCAGCAAACAAACTTCTATAGAATGTCACGATGGAAGCTGCAGCGCAACAGATCCCTCATCAGCAGCAGCACCAACTGCTGCTGCAGCATCAGCAGCAGGAGCAGCAGAGGGAAGCTCGAGCCGCAGCAGCAGCAGCAGCGGCAGCAACCAAGACAGCGAAGACTCCAGCAGAATAAGCAACAGCAACAACAGCAACGGCAACAGCAGCAACGGGAGCATCAACACGAGTAGCAGTAAGCGAAGCAGCAGCAGCAAAAGCAGCAGCAGCAGCAGCAGCAGCAATGAATATCAAATCCCTTATGGTGGTGCTGCTGATGTTGCTAGATATCTATTAAAAGAAGCATATAAACAAACAACAGCTTTCGGTGCAAGTACAGCGCTGCTGCTGTACTTAGACTCCAGAGCCCGCGAACTCGGTGCAGCAAATGTCGGCGACTGTTCCCTCCTTGTCCTCAGGTAAACCACCAGCAGCAGCAGCAGCAGCAGCAGCAGCAGCAGCAGCAGCAGCAGCAGCAGCGGTAGCAGTAGCAGCAGGGAGAGGAGGAGCAGCAGCAGCAGCACCACGCTTAGCGTCTTGTAGGCGCGTTTATTGAATTAGAAACCGCATGAGGTAGCAGTAGCAGCTGCAGCAGCAGCAGCAGCAGCAGCTGCTGCTGCTGCTGCTGAAGCCATTGCTGCTGTTATGTTGTGGTATTTTTACGTTGCTGCTGCTGCCTGCAGCTTAGCAGTTTGTGCGTGTGTGAAGGGTTGCTGCTCCACTCCTGCTGCTGCTGCTGCTGCTGCTGCTGCTGCTGCTGCTGCTGCAGGCGTATATCTCGGGGAAGTCAGTTTGCAGTGGTGCAGCGCTCGAAGGCGCAGCAGCACTATTTTAATTGCCCTTATCAGCTGTCGCGTCTTCCTGACGAACCTCTGCTGCAGCTAACGATAAAATCTCTTGCTGCTGCTGCTGCTGCTGCTGCTGCTGCTGGTGCTGCTGGGGCTGCAGGAGGAGGCGGCACTGCGGCGTCTCCGGCGGCAGCAACAACTGCTGCTGCTGCTGCTGCAGGAGCAGCAGCAGCAACTGCTGCTGCTGCAATGTCCCAAACAAACACAGGACAACAACATCCAGCTGCTGCTCTTGCTGCTGCGAATTCTGCTGCTGCTGCACCAGAAGCAGCAGCAGCAGCAGCAGCAGCAGCAGCACCGGAAGGCCACGGTTCAGATGAAGAGTGGTTTGAACCGCGCTCTGTTCTTGAAGAGGACGGGCGGGAAGCAGATTGTCAGCAGCAACGCAGCAGCAGCAGCAGCGGCAGCAACAGCAGCAACAGCAGCAGCAGCGCGGGCTGCTTCTCCGATGTCAATAAGAAATACCTGAGGTCCTGCAGCAGTGAATGTCTTGGGGCTTTAGGCAGCAGAGAGGGTAGGCCTCCAGAGAGCAAGAAATCAGCAGCAGCAGCAGAAGCAGCAGAAGCAGCAGAAGCAGCAGAAGCAGGAGCAACAGCACCAGCAGCAGCAGGAGCAGCAGAAGCAGCAGCAGCAGATTGCAGGTTTTCATCTGCTTCGCGTATGCCGTTAGATTTGGAGCGTGTAGGTGGATCTGAGTATGCAGCATCAGCAGCATCAGCATCAGCAGCAGCAGCAGCAGCAGCAGCAGCAGCCGCAGCAGCAGCAACAGCAGCACCTGGCGCTGAGTGGGTGCTCCCCACAGGTAATGAGCGCAGCAGCCCTGACTGGACTCTAGGGTCTCCTTGCTGCAGCAGCATATCGTCCTCGCTGCAGCAGACTTTAGAACAGGTTAAAGCTCTTCAAAGGGACAGACACTGTCTCTGTCAAGACTCTCCTGAGACAGCTCAGCTGTATTCAATCCCCGTTGAAGAGGGCGACCTTATCATTGCAGGAACTGACGGTACACCCTGCTGCTGCTGCTGCTGCTGCTGCTGCTGCTGCTGCTGCTGCTCTTGGTGGTGGTGGTGGTGGTTGTGTGTGTGTGGTGTTGCTGCTGCTGTTGTTTTTGGTGCTGTTGTTGCTGCTCTTGCTGCTGCCCGTCTTGCTGCTCTTGCTGCTGTTCCTGCTGTTGCTGCTGCTCCTGCTGTTGATGCTGTTCCTGCTGTTGATGCCCCTACTGCTGCTGCTGCTCCTGCTGCTGCTCCTGCTGCTGCTCCTGCTGCTGCCGCTCTTGTTGGTGGTGGTGGGTGCCCTGATGGTTAGGCTATTGTTATTGCTGCAGCAGCTGATGCTGGTCCTGTTGCTGCAACTTGCTGCTGCTGCTGCTGCTGGCACTAGTAGTTGCTGCTGCTGCTGCTTCTGCTATTAGTTATGAGGGTGCTGCTGTTGCTGCTGCTGCTGCTGCTTCTGCTGCTGCCTTTCCGTTGGTGTTTCTTGCCTTTCTGTTGTTCTCGCTGCAAGAGTGTTGCAGCAGCAGCAGCAGCAGCAGCAGAAGCAGCAGCGGCAGCGGCAGCAATAGCAGGACGGGGTGGTTTCAGGGTATTGCTAATGCTTCTGCACTCATGGTTCTTTGCTTATTGCTTAGGAATTATGGTTTATGGTTTAGGGTTTAGGGTTTAGGGTTTAGGGTTTAGGGTTTAGGGTTTGCTGCTCTCAGGCATCTTCGACAATCTGCAGGAGTACGAAATTTGTAAAGCGGTGAAAGACGCAGTGTCTCCTCTGGAGGCAATGAAGCAGCAGCAGCAAATGCTGCAGCAGCAACTTGTCTTGCTGCAGCAGCAGCTGCGGCAACACTCATCAAGCAAACCCAAACAGCAGCAGCAGCAGCAGCAGCAGCAGCATGGGATTGACGATCCCAACTCACAGAGTTGCAATCCGGCGTCTCCAACCGCTGCAGCAGCCACAGGAGGAGGAGGAGGAGCAGCAGCAACAGCAGCAACAGCAGCAGAAGGAACACCAGCAGCAGCAGCAGCACCGGCAGCAGCAGCAGCAGCAGAGCAGCAGCACGCGTGCTATTGCTGCACCCCCATTCTACCTGCATGCAGCCCCACAAGCCGCAGCAATCCTTCCTTCAATAGCAGCTGTCCTTTGCCTGTCTCCGCTGCTGCTAGACCCACCTGCCCTCATGTAAACCCTAAACCCTAAACCCTAAACCCTAAACCCTAAACCCTAAACCCTAAACCCTAAACGTAGAGGGAGCCCGAAGAGCGGTAATCACTTTAGTTTGTGAAGGTAGCAGCACCATGGGCAGAAAAATAGCTGCTGCATCACCAGCAGCAGCAGCAACAGCAGCAGCAGCAGCAGCAGCAGCAGCAGCAGGGAAGTGAAGGCGCAGCAGCATGAACGTAATTGCTGCAGCATTGGGGTGTATGTGCAGCTGCTGGCCTCTCGTCTCTGTCGTCTTGCATTTGAAAGAAGCATAGAAACAAACGCAAGAACCCCCTTCGCCAGAGAAGCTCGCAGGTTAGCAGCAGCAGCAGCAGCAGGAAAGCAGCAGCAGCAGCAGCAGGAAGAGCAGCGGCAGCAGCAGTTGCAGCTAATGTTGCTTCGAGTAGACTCAAGCAAGGCATAGAAAACAGCAAGCAGAGATCTTCACAATAACCTCCATACTGCTACGACTGCTGCTGCTGTTGCTGCTGTATCTTCTGCTGCTGCTGCTGCTGCTGCTGCTGCTGCTGCAGGTGCGGGTTTGACTTCAGAGGGGGTAAGAAAGATGATGCAGCAGCACTTGTTGCCTGGGTCTGCTCGCCATACACTCCATTAGTAGAGCATTTGATGCTGCACCCAGCAGCAGCAGAACCAGCTACCGAAGGAGGCATCTCCTCCGAGCTAAACCCTAAACCCTAAACCCTAAACCCTAAACCCTAAAACGCAAGCCCTCGGCCAAGGCCTTGCAGGCGATGCATGCAGCAGCACCCTCTGCTGTTGCTGTTGTACATTCTGTACACTCAAAGACAGCGCCGAACTAGTTTACTAGGGTTTAGGGTTTAGGGTTTAGGGTTTAGGGTTTGGGCTGGTGCTTCCTAGGGAATGCCGAATTCTGGAGCCTAAACCCTTTTCTTCTCAGGCGGTCAACAAAGACCTGTAGCTGAAGAAGAATAGAAGTAGATGCTGCTGTTGCTGCTGCTGCTGTTGCTTCTGCTGCTGTTGCTGCTGCTGCTGCTGTTGCTGCTGCTGCTAACGCTGTTGCTTCTGCTGCTTTTGCTACTGTTGTTGCTGTACTTGGTGCTGCTGCTGCTCCTTTTTCTGTGGCCGACATTCCCGCTGCTGTGATGATGGTTGATGCTTCTGTTAGTGCGCAGTTGCTGCTGCTGTTGCTGTTGCTGCTGCTGCAGCGTGCTGCTGCAGTTGCACCTGTTGCTCTTGCTGGTTACGGTGTGTCTGCGAGCTTCAATTTAGGGTTTAGGGTTTAGGGTTTAGGGTTTGGGTGTAGGACCTGGGGTTTATTTTAGCTGTGAAGCAAAAGCAAAGAAAAAAAAGTAAAGGGAAGAATGAAGAAGTATGCATGCAGCCCCACAACACCAAACCCTAAACCCTAAACCCTAAACCCTAAACCCTAAACTGGGTTCGATTTGTACGCGTATCTCAATATAACATGCCTCCTTAGAAGGAGCTCTAAACCACCACTGATATACTGCAGGGCCCCACAGCTAGCTACAGCTAGCTGTAGCTAGCTGTAGCTAGCTGGATGAGAATTAGTGTTTACATATATTTCTGGGCTTTATGTCTTCTTACCCTAAACCCTAAACCCTAAACCCTAAACCCTAAACCCTAAACCCTAAAATAAAAGAATATTATTATACTTCTTTTTTACTCTTTTTTTTTGCTTTTTATGTCTCCAACTGCGTCGCCAGTTTATTTCCTACGAATTAATTTTTATTTCTTTTACTGTCTCCTTGCTGCTCTCAACAGTCTCATACACCTTTTATTATATTATAAATATACTATATATAAATATAATGTATATATATATATATATATATATAATATGCATATATATATTATATATATTATATTTATATATATGACAGCGCTGCTGCCCTCGTCGCTGATCTCACTCCGTAGCAGCAGCAGCAGCAGCAGCAACAACAGAAGCAGCAACAGCAGAAGCAGAAACGGCAGCAGCAGGAACAGGAGCAACAGCATCAGCAGCAGCATGAGCATCAGCATCAGCAGCAGCAACAGCAGGAGCAGCAGCAGCAGCAGCAGCAAACCTGCCATAGTCAATTAGCACTTATTTTTATTTTAGTTTGATGTTGTTTATTATTAATCAGCTAAGTGCACCAACTTGTGTAAATATTATTTCTGCTTGCATGCGCTGTTAAAATAAAAAACAAATAAAACATTAATTATTTGGATGCAGTGCTGCTGCTGCTGCTGCTGCTGCTGCAGCTTAGCAGCAGCAACAGCAGCAAACGGCACACTCGCCGCCTCCTCTTCACCTGTTTATCATTATCCTGCTGTTGCTGCTGGTGCTGCTGCTGTTGCTGTTGCTGTTGCTGCTGCTGTTGCTGTTGCTGTTGCTGTTGCTGCTGCTGTTGCTGTAGGGGAGGCTATGGCTGCTGCTGTACGATGTATATTTGTTAGTCTATTCTCGCTGCTGCTGCTAGCAGCAAAACGACAGACAAGTGTTTTGCTGCACCCCACATACAGACACCCGAATGATAAAGCCCCAGCTGGATGCATGCACGCATGCATGAATTAAGTATATGAGTATAATATTATTGTTTGTTTATTCGTATAACTTTATCTATTGATGCAAATGTAAATATACACAAAGACAAACAGAGACAGGAGTCAGACTGAACAGCAAAGGCGCCGACAACACTTGTGGGGTTTAGGGTTTAGGGTTTACGTTAAACCCTCTAGGGTTTAGGGTTTAGGGTTTAGGGTTTAGGGTTTAGGGTTTAAGGAAGGCGTATGTCCTTCCCTCTAAAATAAATATAGATATAAATATAAATATAAATATAAATATATATTTATATAAAGTTAAGGTGTATGTACAGCGCACGCCTCTGCAATATATGAAGGGATAAACACACAAAAAGTTAATCTTTCTTTTTTGTCTATAGATAGAAGAACAGCTGCAGCAGCAGCATTTGCTGCTGCTGCTGCTGTTGCACAGGCGCAGCCGCAGCCGAAGCAGCGACAGCAGCAGCAACAGCAGCAGCTGCTGCTGCTGCTGTTGCAGCTCCCGCTGCTGCAGCAGCAGTTTGCGGTGGGTGTTAGTTGTTAATATTGTTATAAACAACAATAAAGATGAGTTTAAAAAGATAAATAAAGAGAAGAAATAAACACAGGGTGGTAGAGCAGCTGTATGCGGGTGTCGTCAGCCTTAGCAGCAGCAGCAGCAGCAGCAGCAGCAGCTGCAGCAGCAGCAGCAGCAGAACCTTCCTTCTCTGGGCGACTGCTATAGTGCTTCTCCTGCAAACTCCTCTTCAGGTGTATGTACAGCAGCAGCAGAAGCTGTTTTAGGGATTGGCTCTGCAGCAGGCAGCAGCCCCAAACCCTAATAAACCCTAAACCCTAAACACTAAACCCTAAACCCTAAACCCTAAACCCTCCAGCCCGAAACCCTCTAACCCAAGCATAAACGCAAACCCTAAACCGTAAATATCTCGTGCTTGATGTGTTGAGACAAGAAGAGCAGCAGCAGCAGCAGCAGCTACGCCGACAGCAGCAGCAGCAGAAGTAGAGGGGACGCGCGCAGCAGCAGCAGCAGAAGTAGAGGGGACGCGCGCAGCAGCAGCAGCAGCAGCAGCAGCAGCAGCCTCGGCAGCAGCAGCAGCAGCTGCTGCTGCTGCTGCAGCTTTAACACCACGTATTACTGCAAACAGCAGTAGCAGCAGCAGAAGCAGCTGCGGGAGCAGCAGCAGCAACAGCCTCTACAGCAGCGGCAGTTGCAGCAACAGCAGCATTAGCAGCAGCATCAGCAGCAGCAGCAGCTGCTGCTGCTGCACTAAAAAGTTCGGATGTGTTCGTAGGCAGCAGCAGGCGGTTCAGCAGGATGCAGCAGCAGCAAGAGGAGTGCTGCGCGTCAGCGCAGCAAGAAGCTACTGACAGCAGCAGCAGCACCAGCAGCAGCAGCAGTAGACAGCAACAGCAGCAGCAGCAACAACAGCAGCAGCAGCAGCAGCCGCGGCAGCAGCAGCTGCTGAGGCCTCCTCCATCTGCGCTGGAGATGCCTCAATCTGTGCTGCCGCACCGGGCGAATTCGTTTTGTGTCTCCGAGTGAGTCTTTGATATTTAGGGTTTAGGGTTTAGGGTTTAGGGTTTGCGAAGAGCTTTAGGGTTTAGGGTTTAAGGGTGAATATCTATATGGAGCTTCTATGCTCAGGGTTTAGGGTTTACTGTTTAGGGTTTCGGGATTAGGGTTTAGGGTTTAGGGTTTAGGGTTTAGGATTTGTTTAGGGTTTATTGCATCTTCTTAATCTTTTAATATTCGCTTCCTTCTTGCTTGTTATTTAGGGTTTACTGCTTACTGTTTCGGGTTTATTGTTGATTGGTTATTCTTTATTTATTGCTCAGGGTTTAGGGTTTAGGGTTTAGGGTTTAGGGTTTAGGGTTTGAGTGCAGGGCGGATTGGGTGCCTCGGGAGAGTTACGTCGATTTGCGCTGTTATTTTCGCGGAGGAGCGAAGAGGGTTTTAATAATTAAACGAATAAACAGTCCGGCCGTCACTGAAGTTGCTGCTGCTCTCGCAAGGTAAGGAAACAGCAGCAGCAGCAGCAGCAGCAGCAGCAGCAGTTGTTGTTGTTGTTGCTGTTGTTGTTGCTGCACCTTTAGGGTTTTTTTGACTTATTACACGTATAAAGTATTCCATGCGTATGCATATATATATATATATTATATTATATGCATATAAATATACATATTATATATAAATATACATATATATAATTATATATATGTATATAAATATACATACATATATATAATATTTATAATATATGATATATATAATATATAATGTATTTATAATATATAATATATATATATATATACATATATATAATATATATATATACTTATTTATATGTATATCTGCATGCACATTATAAATATGGATATAATATACATCTTGATTTACTACAAATATATATATATATATATATATTTATTATATAATATACGTGTATATACAATATATATAAACATTTACATATATATATATATTTATATTTATATTTATTATATATATATATATATAATAAATTATTTCTGTGCTGAGTGACTGAAGAAGAGATGTCTTTATTAAATAATTTAATTAATTAATTTATTTATTTATTTTAATTAATTAATTTAATTAATTTAATTAAATTAATTAAATTAATTAATTTTATTTATTTATTTATTTTTAGGTTTCTGCACTTCTCTTTGGGTTTGATGGTAGTTGTGGAGCCTGCTGCTGCAGAAGAAATGGCGGAGGCGGTCAGCTTGCTGCTGCTGCTGCTGCTGCTGCTGCTGTTGCTGCTGCTGCTGCTGCTGCTGTTGCTGCTGCTGTTGCTGTTTCTGTTGCTGCTGCTGTTGCTGTTGCTGCTGTTGCTGCTGCTGCTGGTGTTGCTGTTGCTGCTGGTGTTGCTGTTGTCGGTGTTGTTGCTGCTGCTGTTGGTTCTGTTGCAGCAGCAGCTGCTGCTGCTGTTGCTGTTGCTGCTGCTGCTGCTGCTGTTGCCGCTGCTCTTGTTGCTGCTGATGTTGCTGTTGCAGCTGTTTCTGCTGCTGGTGCGGGCGTTGTTGATGGTGGTGCTGCTACTGGTAGCAACAGCAGCCACTGTAGCAGCAGCAGCACCACCAGCAGCACCAGCAGCACCAGCAGCACCAGGCCCAGCAGCAGCAGCAGCAGCAGCATGAGTATGTTGTTTGCGCTCAGGAGTGAGTATGGGCAGTTTGGGGTATTTGACGCATTTCGAAGTAAAAGAGATGAATCAGGTTGCTGCTGCTGTTGCTACGCAGCCTTTTGCTGTTACACTCAGATGCAGACTCTGTAAGCCTGCTGCTGCTGCTGCTGCTGTTGCTGCTGCTCGTGCTGCTGCTCGTGCTGCTGCTCCTACTGCTGCTCTTACTGCTGCTGATGCTGCTGCTGCTGTTGCTGTTGCTGTTGTTGCTGCTGTTGTTGTTGCTGCTGCTGCTGCAGCAGCTGCTGCTGCTGCTGCTGCTGCAGCTGGTGCAGCTGGGTATTAAGGATATCTATAAATAAGAAAATTTTTTTTGTATTTGTTTGTGTGTATAGATGTACGCATCCTTACAGAGGACGGCGAAGAGTTAATGAATTGCATAGCAACAAATGATTGTGTAATAGATAGAGGCGCTTCGTCTTTTATATCTCTGCTGTACGTACACCTCGGAGACAAACATTTTACTACGGTTATTGCTGATGGTCTTATCATCGCTACACCCACGGGCAGCACAGCCTACAGTATGAGTGCTGGGGGATCTATAGTTCATCCTAAAGTAAGTCTTTTGTTTAATTTTATTATTATTTATTATTATTATTATTATTATTGTTCTTGTTGTTGCTGTCGTTAATCTGCTTCTATAGAGCTATTATATGCTATATTTATTAATTATTTTTATTTTTAATGTTATAGTATGAGTGCTGGAGTGTCTATAGTGCATCCTAAAGTAAGTCTTTTGCTTATTATTACTATTATTTATTATTATTATTATTATTATTATGTATTATTATTATTATTATTACTACTCTTTTAATACAGCATGTTTTGTTTATGTTATTATTGACATTCATTTATATTGTATGAGCGGTGGGGCATGTATATAAATATATATAAATATATATAAATATATATAATAATATATATAAATAT